GTGGCCCACGCAGGTCGGGCCAGGCTCCCCGTGAGGGCCTGCCCCAGCCTCAGCTCTTGGAGCAGCCTCAAGCCCACCCTATCCTCCAGGCTGAGCACTGATGGAGCTCGGCGCACCTGAGGTCGTACAGAGCGTCCCCCCCTCTGCCCTGGGGACAGCCCCCGATGCCCCATCTGTCCTGCAGATCCCTGTGACATTGCGTGTGAGCCCCTCTGTCCCTCCAGCCCCCAGCCCCAGCAGCTCTCGAGAGAGGATGGCGTCGGGCTGTGGGGACAGGGGGCCCGGTGGGGTCCCCGGGACTCACCGCCCGCTGCCCTCGCCTTGCAGACCGGGTGGCCCAGAACGTGGTGAAGTCGCACCTGGAGACATGCCAGTACACGACAGAGGAGCTCAAGCGCCTGGCGTGGAGCCTCTACTCCCCCGAGGAGGTCCGCGCCTTGCAGAGCAAGGTGAGCGCTGCTGCCGCGGTCCCCCGGCTCCCGGCCACGGCCAGAGCCGCCCCAGCCTTTTTTTTTCCCGCCACAGCCCTTGGCAAGGGCTACTGCTGTCCCCCGGTGCTGCACCCAGGCAGGGAGGAGGCGAGGAGGATGAGGGAGGGTCTTTCAGTGCTTTGGGAGCTGCAAAAGCCCAGTTGGGGGGGATGTGGTGGTGTGGGTGGCAGGTCATGCCCCAGGTATCTCAGTGCCACCACCCACCGTGGGTGGCACGGTGCCTGGGTCCCTTACCTGCCCCCTGCAGCGAGGACGGGGGGGGAGAGTGGAGCCAGGGTGATGGGGTAGCAGCAAACTCCAGGTGAGGGGGTGGCAGCGAGCCCTAAGGGACGTCCCCGCTGTGCCGGCAGAGCTGCGAGGCCATGTGGCAGCAGTGCTCGCTGCAGATCTCCAACGCCATCCAGTACGTGGTGGAGTTTGCCAAGCGCATCGACGGCTTCATGGAGCTCTGCCAGAACGACCAAATCATCCTCCTGAAAGCCGGTAAGAGCGGGGTACCCTGCCACCCCCTCACGTCCCCGCCGTCCCCAAGGCCTCTCCCAAGCAGCGGCCGCAGCACCGAAGGCATATCCCATCTCTTCTCTCGGCTAGTGCTTTCCTTTCGGGATCTCCCCTCCCTCACTGCCCCAGTTGCCCCCAGGCTCAGCGTCGGTGCTCGGGGCACAGCTATTGGGCTGGAAGGAGTTGAAGGTCATGTTTAAAGGTGATGGTATAGAGAGGGACATGGGGAGCAGCCGCCCCAGGCGGAGGCTTTTCTCCATGGTCATCCTTAACCAAATGTCACCCAGAAACTGGGATGGAAAGGAGCACGGCAGGTTTTCCCCCAGGAAAAGGGGTGCCAAACCTGAAGGGGAGCAGGGTGGGAGAAGAGGCCAATCCTTTCCTCTTCTCCCAGCAAGAGACTGGGAAGAGGACAACACGAAGCGCACACCCATGTCCCCCACCCATCCACCCGCCTGAGCCTGTGACACCGTGCCCAGGCGAGGGAGCTGAATGCGCAAAAGCCCCAAAAGGCCAAACAAGGTGGAAAAGCTGCCCAGTTTCTAAACTTTCGGGGCTGGGGAGCTGAGAGCCTCACCCCATGCAGGGATGTGTGCAAGCGTCCTGGCAGGGTGCTGTACCCCAAAGCCAGAGCTGGCCATGCCCAACATGCTGGAGTTTAACTCATTCTCTCATTTCTTCCTTCCATTTTATTTTTATTTATTTTGTTTTCACCCTCTCCTCTCTTGGTGTTCCACCATGACCTGAACTGATCCCTGTCTCTGGCTGCGAACGCCTGGATAATATTTCCCTTTGGTGAAATATTGTGGTCACAATTGGAAACCTAAAAAAACCCAAACCAACCCCAAACCCAAACTGGATTTATTGGAATAACCATTCTGCTCTTGGGAATGAACAATCTGGACTTCAAATTTGCACTGGGGGCTTTCCTCTTTCTTACATTTGGTCCTGGGCCGATGGAAACCCCCCTGCCCTGCCCTGCCCTGCCCTGGTCTGCGCTCTCTCTGCCTACATCAGGTTGCCTCGAGGTGCTCCTAATCCGCATGATCCGTGCATTCAACCCCTTGAACAACACCGTCCTCTTCGAGGGGAAGTTTGGCGGCGTGCAGATGTTCAAGTCGCTCGGTAAGAGCCGCTTCACCGTGCCTCCCTTGGGGCGCTCCTCTCCTTTCGACACCCAGACGGGGCTGGGGTTTACAGCCAGGTGAAACGCAGCTGGGCTGAATCCCGAGGGGACAGGAGGGGCTGAGACCCTCCTGTGTTTGCTCCCACTCCCATTGGGATCGGGTTGATGTGTGCTGTGGTTGGGACCCGCTTTCTGCCCCAGCCCGAAGCCCAGCAGTGCTGGGCATCCTCTGCCAGGGACCCCCCTTCACCCATCTCATCTCCAAAAGCTTTCCGAGCCCTGGGTGCTGCTGGGGTCGGCTGGCAGGTGGGAGCATGGGGGTGCCGCCATCCTCTGCCAGGGACCCCCCTTCACCCATCTCATCTCCAAAAGCTTTCCGAGCCCTGGGTGCTGCTGGGGTCGGCTGGCAGGTGGGAGCGTGGGGGTGCCGCCGGGCAGTGTGGAGCTGTGACATCTCCCTCCTCCCCGCTGTTCCTCCGTCAGGCTGCGATGACCTCATCGGCGCCGTCTTCGAGCTGGGGAGGACCCTGTGCCGCCTGCAGCTGTCGGACGAGGAGCTCGCCCTCTTCACTGCCGCTGTCCTGCTCTCCCCGGGTACAGGGGCTTGTGGGGGGGACGCAGCAGCCGGGACTGGCCAGGGAGGGGGGACTCATGCCAAAGCTGGGGAGAGCTGACCCATAAATCTCAGTGCTGCTGGATGATTTAAGTTAGTCCTGGGAAAGGAGGTTGGGGTAAAAATGCATCTAAAAATGCACAACATGCATCTGCCAAAACTTCCTGGTGAGAGGAGGAGCCACGTCCCCCACGGTGGGGTTGGGGGGTGGAGAGGGGCTGCCTGGCCATGCCACCATCCCCAAAAACGTCTTGGGAGGGTTAAAAGAGCAACAGGCCACTGCACCGTGCCAGGGGAGACCCCCATGGTGGCACTGACCTGGTCACTGTCCATCTCCTGTAGATCGCCCGTGGCTGACAGAGTCCAAGAAGGTGCAGAAGCTCCAGGACAAGATCTACGTGGCCCTGCAGCACGAGATCCAGAAGAAACACTCCGCCGAGGACAAGCTCTCGAAGGTAGCCGTGCTGCCTGCATGTGGCGCGGGGAGCCCGGCCGGGCCATGGCACGTGTGCCGCAGGGAGGTGTCTGAACCGGTGGATGTGGCTGTGCTGGAGCTCATTAGCCACGTGCGGGCGCTTTTTGGGGGGCGAGCCCTGGGATCTCTTGAAGGAAGAGGAGAATTTCTCTTTCCAAGGGCCATCCATGTCCGTTGTGGCGGAGGAAGCCACGGCGGAAGGCGCCCCCAG